CTCTGGCCTGTACCTAAACTTACACTTGTACAGTGGGTAGCTTATGTTTTGGTTATTTGTGTAGGAATCAGCATCTTACAGTCTCAGACCCCCAATTTCTTACCTATTGGCACCAGGATCTTTGTATAACAACCAGACAGTACCAAAGGGAATGAGGTCTGGTTCCAGGATAGCTGTGTAAGATGTTGACACAGAAATGGCAGCAGTAGATAGCACAGTTGAATGTTGATCAAGCATGAGATCAAATGAACTCAGCCATATTGGGAAGCCCACAGGTATAAGAAATACATTTCCTACATGCAATATACATGTACTTACATGTCAGCCTGTTGAAATATAATTGGCAATGACTCAAATTTTATGATTTTCATACTCTGTGTCTAATGACAACTTTAAGACACAAACTTGTAGTAACCAGGCTGTTAGAACATTGAACATAGATTTCTAACTAAAACTTCTTACTAATCAGAATTTGATTGACTTTAGATTTCAATTCTGACTTTTGCTATTGAAGATCAAGCTTTTACACCTTCTGCCTAGCTAGCTCTCAACTAGCCACTTTTCATTCATTATTTTTCATTTCACCCTCAATCCCATCGAATTAGAGGTCGACTGTTACTTTTGTATGCCAGGAATTTTTACACCTGTGTGGCTAGCCCAGTCAGCGACCATATAGGAAGAGCATGTTTGGTGACAGGGATTCAAACTCCCAGAGCTACTGTATGCTCTACAATCTCTAAGATTCTGGGAGCTGCCCAAACTTACAAAGAGGAATAAAACACTTCTTCTTGAACTGAGGAATCACTAGATATTGGTTGAGAGAAGAAAGGTCCTGGATTTTTGGGACAACAGAAAGATGAGAATAAAACTCTGGAGATGGTCAAAAAGACTCTCTCAATGGTTCTCTTGTCCAAAAGATCCAATACCATGGTCTCAAGAAGCAGAAGACAGTAAGGATCAGAAGGAGAAGGAAAATGAATGAAAAAAAAGGAGGAAAAGACTGCATTACACAGATTAATAAAGTTAATGGTTTGTCCTATTTCTCTAGAAACATAATAAAATAGTTTTATACATCAATCATAGAAAAAACTGGTTGCATATATAGTTGTAGGCATAATCTTCCTTCTGGTAAAAAACCAACAGACAAGGGAAAAGGATACAATTGTGTAAATCTTTATCCAGTACAAAAACAACATGGCAACAGAAATATACATAATTAAATAGAGTTTTGCCTCAAAACACAAATCAGTAGGCATGGGGAAAAATATTAAAGAGAGCACATTTTTCTGGGTACAAAAACCCAAATAATATATATGTAATTTAGAATATTTATTTATCCCCAAATATAACCGTCAGGATAGGGTTAAACACATGAGCTCTTTCTGGATATTATACATTAACAGAAGTTTTGAGATTGCTTGATATATATATATACACACACTCCCGTATCTCTGTGAACTACTTGTACCTGAGGAGGACAAAATCTTGTCAAAACGTCTTATATTATAATAAAGTTTTTCATTACCAAATCAAGCATCTCAAAACTTTTATTTTTTAGAAAGTGGGTTCCTCGTTATCAAGTTTTAGTACATTAATAGATTAGAATTCATATACTAACTAAACATTTTTCTGATATTTTTTCCTCTAGAATTTTAACAACTAAACACAATGACAAGCATTTTGCTTAACAACTTGTTAAGAACTTCATGTGACACAAATCTAAACAACAAACAGCTTGTTTTCATATAAAATATTCAAATGTTCTGTTATGGAGAATCATTAATGGAGAATCATATGCAAACGAAAATACTTATTTTTCTTTCTGTATTACTGAATACATATTGCTCAGGTTATTGTTTACCAATTTGTAATGAAATGTTCTTTTGTTTGTTTGTTATTAAGCACAAAGCTACACAAAAAGCTATTTGTGCTGTGGCCACCAACGGTACTGAAACTCAGTTTAATAAGCCCTAAGACTTACCTCTGAGCCACTAAAGGGCCAGAAATGTTCTATAAATTTGTTGTCAAAATGGCTTAGAATAATTTCATATTTAGTTTATTATGTCATTGATTGTTTACAACATCTTGCTAAAAAAGTGTTATATTTTACAATACATACAAAGCATAATTTTCTCTCACAAGTCACTACAGGTCAAATATTCAACATAAAATACCCATAACTATATTAAAAAAGAAGGTAATTATACTTGATAAAACACATCCTTTTACAAGAAAAACTAACATTTTGTGCTTATTTAATAAACGTTTTATGTTCTCATCAAGCTACACTATAACACAGGCTAAAAACATTTAGACTGAATTTAGCTATTTATAACAAGCAATTCATAATACACACACACACACACAGATTACAAGAAATTCTAATGGTACTCCTTAAACATATTTTTATTGACATTCCACGGAATGTTCACATAATTAATGATCAAAACCTACTGCTATTTTGCTTCACTGGAGAAATGTTTTAAATGTTAGATGCATGAATTACGTACATATACAGAGATGTGATGAATTACTGATTATAGTAGTATCTAACTATATAGTAACTGACAAGAGACATTTCAGTATCCATAATGAAAATTTTTACCATATCATTCATATTCAATCAAGCCTTTTCTTTCTTAAAATAAAAGAGGAGTATACCATGTCTTTATGACTACTCTATGTAGTGGGGTACAGCTTTTATTTCCATGTATGCTGTATTGAATAAAGATTGAGTGTTTTACACATGTAAAAGTGACATCTACACTCAGTGATAAGCTTAACAGGACCTTCACCTAATACTGGATTTGATCACCTTTAGTTGCAATAATGGTCTGGACACAGACTTTACAAAATGACAGAAGGTAGTTTGTTCAACTGAGCTGACTTATCAAGATGTCTCCTAAAAACTGTGGAATGAAGTGTTCAATCAGATTGAGACTTGGTAATTGTGCTTCCCAAGGAAGATGACTGAAGTCACTTCAAACTGATTTCAGGAATACAAACACACTGGATTGTTACATGATCATTTTGGTAGCAGGTTGGGCAAGCAGCACTTTGGAATGGAGACAAGTGGCAACAACATTCAGGTACATAGTGGATGTTATTTACCTTTCTAAAGGAACTAAACTCTATTACAATGTTCTCCATACCATTACACACCTCTATTAGTTAATACTGACAAAACAATACAGAATCAGGTACCTCAAGTGGTTTTATTCTATTTTTTAATCTAGTATAAATCAGGTATGTCTACTTGTAATTGCCACATTTGGTAAACCTTGATACAAGAAAATTTTAACAGCTTGTCACAATATGGTCTTTGATAATGATGCTGATGGTAGAAGGCTACCCAAACTCATGCCATACAAGTCTGAAGTATTTTGAACTTACCCATTGTTTACTAGTATAGCCATTATATGTGACCATAATTCGCACCTAATGGGCTTAACCCTTTTGAGATTAGTCACAGGTGAAAGGCCATGTCATCTCATTTGTTGATTTGCATTAAAAATTTTATTGAACTATTCTTTCATGAATTTATGTCAATAACTTTGGTATCAAAGTGTATACTATAATTTAACTTTTAGTATCATTGCTCAATTTCTTAATTTAAAAGCAAATATTAAAAAACACAGATAAACATCAATTTTTGTGTGTCATGTGGTATGTTGAATGCAGCACTGGTTCAAATAAGATGAGTGCACGTGAGCCGCGGCATTGTAACTTCTGTATTATTAGCCAGGCATGGCTGAAAGGTCAATAAAATAGAAATATTAAATATATATATAAATGTATAATATTATGAGATTTAAGCTATTTAGTCTAAACATTTATGTATTCGTGTTAAAATTTGTGTTCATTCTAGAATGAAAGAGGCATAATTTATATTTATTTCCTAATTTTTATGGTGATTGCGAGATCGGCCCAATCTACTGAACCTGTACAGAGATTAATTACTGAAAATAACAGATAAAATATGAAGTTTTTTTTCTTAAGAAGCATTTGATAACTATCGGGACATTATAAAGATTTCACATGTGAAATTTGAAAATTTTCTGTTGCATTAAAGTATTTTTAACCTTAAAATGAAAATTACTTTGCAACATACAAAAAAGAAAAAAAAAGGCATAAAAAACATTACTTTACAAACCTTAAGATAATTTAAAATTAGATATTTTGCATATGAAAGCATTGTAATGTTAACTGACAATCTGCCAAATTTCATTAACATTCGCTTACTAATTTAAAAGTTATAGCATGAAAACTATAACAAGCACAAAATAGTTACGAGGTCAGTCCCAGGGACTGAGCTCATGCTGAAAGAGTTAAGCAATTAGATGAAATACTACTTGATCAATTAATTTTGAATATGCAAATACATAGTTTTCAAACATTGTTGAGAGGTACGTAATAAATTATTAGACACTTTAAATTAAAATATCATTATATAATATTACCTGTAAAGTATAACATTTATTTTGTAATTGATATCTTTCCCAAAAATAATGTGAAAAATCCTAAATCTATATCACCTGTTTTCATTTTCTAATAAGCTGCTTATAATGATAAATCACCATGAACCAAAATGCAACCACATTTTTTTTCATGATTCAGAGGGGCCTTATACTAAATAAAACCTTACTAAATCAAAACAACACATAACATGTTTATTCTTGTTTTGTCATTTCATGTTTACAAAATGTTACTGTTTTGAAAATGAGACCAATATTAGCATTTTTAATCATGATGGTTGGGCATCTGAGAATTTTCTAATTACTTATCAATGAACACTATCCTGGACTGCTTCAGGTCAGAGTTGAGATCACAGGGATCATTATTTTCAAATTTAATGAATTAACACTATTTTTGCTGAAGTATGTGCACATGAAATAAGTAGATGCATATAGTAAAAGGACTCACCACACAATTCCTTGAGCACCAGAACCAATAGGCCTAAGGTTCTGGTATCGTTTAAGAATTGTAAACTGGGCATCGCCCACCTCGACAGTATAGAACATGCTAGAATTTTTGCTGGACATGTCACTGGAGTGGCTGGCTACACTAGATCCTTCAGGGCACAATCGCATCAGGGGTTCCACATCCACTTGAGAAACAGAGATCTCACAAATATCCAACTACAGGAATAAGGTGCTAGATGCTATGGCTTCAAATAAAGGTGCATCTGAAAAAAAATTAAATGTATATTAAATAGGTACAATATACTACTACTATTTATAGCTATGGTTTTACAATTACAGAAGATTAACACCATGGTTTCAGGTTTAAAAACTTCTCAAAGTTCACTTACACCTTGAAAGAGCAAATAGTATAGACACAATGTATAAACATTACTTGTAAGTTTTAACATACTAAGTGAACAACAGTTTTAATTAAGTGAAAAAATTATACAAGATATAGTTAAAAAATATAGACAAAGCAAAAAGGTATTAGCTAGTCTTTCGTTATTAGCTGTTCACAATGCCTTTTCATTATGATACAATAAACCCTGGATACATCCAAATTATTTCCATATTGATGATAGTATGGGGTTACAGTGATGAATATTATGTAAAGTAAATAAAAGTGCTCTCTTATGAGTAACATCTAATTATTTTGTAAAGTATATCACATGCAGCTAGTTTCTAAAACAAGAAAACTTAAAAATGGACACTCAGTTTGGTAAAAATGACATTCAAACTTTACAGTGAGATTACTTTGGTTCAATAATTTCAGTGCCTTTTAAAATTTCTTTAAACTATTTAGCTGTTGCTACTATATCATAATTATATGACATTTTATAGAACAGTTCTGACAGAAAAAGATAAAAGTAGATTGTATAGTACAAAGGGAAGAATCTTAAACTGAAACAATCCACAATGGGAAATAATTGCATTTTGATCTACTGGCTTCATCAACAGGCACCTGTAATACTCAGAGGAGGAATCAATGTACTTACGTAATGAGTCTTGTGTAAAAAGTTAACATATCTTTAATATGAGGGTAAAGGTGAAGGAATAGTCAACAAATTATTTAAATTTGCTGACAACATAAAACTTTGGGTTTACTGGCTGTAAAGAGGATGCTACTGCTTTACAAAAGGATTTGGATTATTTGGTGAGTTTAGCAAATAAATGGCAGATAACTTTTAATTATAATGAAAGCAAGGTAACACATGTAGGATATCACAATTTGAATTATGAGTATAATTTTGATGGGAATAATCTTAACAGTGTTATGGAAGAAAAAGATCTAGGTGTTCTAGTTCATTAGTCTCTTAAGCCAAGCAGTGTGCTGTTGCTAGTGGTAAGGCAACTATGATTTTAGGCTGTATCCACAAAAATACTGAATACAAGTCTAAAGAGGTTATAATGTCATTGTATAGGTCATTGGTTAAGCCACATTTGGAGTACTGTGTTCAGTTTTGAGCTCCTTACCTTAGACGACGAATTGTTGGAAAGAGTTCAGAGAACTACCAGGATGTTACCTTGGTTGGAAATATTAGCATACGAGGATAGGTTAAGATCTCTGAACTTTTCTCTGGAAGAAAGACAAGCTAGAGGGTACCTGATTGAAGTGTTTAAGGGAACTGATAGTGTTGATACATCATCTTTTCTCATAGTTAATGGTAAGACAAGTGGAAACAAATATAAATTTTTGCAGGTAGGAGTCATCTTTAGTTAAGACAGCTTTACTTTTCTAACAGGGTAGTTGGCTTTCAGAATGAGTTGCCTTCAAATGAAGTAGCAGCTGTTAATCTAAGGGAGCTTATGAGTAAACTTGATAAATATTTGAATGGTAAGGTGTTGACCTCAAGTTTTTCAGTGTTTAGTTTAACTTGGTGAATAGGATGGTCTAGATAGACTAAACGATCCCTTGTTATCGTTTAATATTATACATGACCCAAAATTACCTTAACCTGTTTTTTCTCCAGTGGAATTTTGTATCATATACTTAAATATTCCTAACATTTAAAAACAAAAACAGGCCATATCTCATTCATCTGAAATGTTTCATGTAAAACTACAGCATGGATATTCTTTAAAAAAGCTTGATGAAACCTACCTAAAAAATATACCCACGAACTCAACTTAGGTTGCATGATCACGAATCTGTTATAAAAAGGATGTTTAAAAACTTTGCAACCATTTATAACATGATATCACCTGGTACACAATTACTTGTTTTATAAATAAATGTTACATTTATTAAGAAACTGATCTGGAGAAATATCAGCTCAGACAATATAGGTGATTCATTCATATTTTTTTATTCTATGTAGCAAGTTTCTTGATTCTAAGTGACTTGCAACACTAAATCAGTTTCACTATTAGCATGAAAAAAAAACTACTTGCGAGTTTAATACGGGAACACAAAGATTTCTTAGTAACACTATGTACTTTAGACTGGCCTACAATTCTAGTCATGCACACAAATAAATCCTAAAAGAGAATATGCAAGACTCAAGGATGTTAACATAGCCCATAGGAACAGTAGTTTCCAAATGTTAGAGTTTAATGCATATATAGGAACAGTAGTTTCTAAATATTTGTTTAATGTATACACAAAAATTTTGTTTCTGACATTTTGAACTTTACAGTAGTTTTAACTTTTTACATTTTCGCAGTTTATAATAACAAAAGTATTTGATTCCTATCTCAGCATTATTATTTTTCTTCAATTATGAACTTATGTTTTATCAATTGTTAAAAATTATAACTTGATGTTTCCATAAAATTAAAAACATATGTCAATGGTACAGGTAGAAAATAGATTGTTAAGACTGTGAAAGTTAAAGTACAGGAGAAACAAGTAGAAAATAATGACCAGATGCAAAGAACATGAAAAATGATAAGAATCAAACATAAATGAACATTAGGTTCAGAAACACCACAAATCTTTTAAAATATTAAATGTAAATAAAAACCCTAACAAAAGCAAAATGTTGGAAACACAGAGAATAATGATCAAAGAATTAAAATTAACATAAATAAAATACATCAGAAGCACCATTATATTTGTATCAAGTTAAAAAACAGATGGAGCTAGTATCATCATAAACATAATTATTTAATTGGATGTATTTGTAATTTGAATGTATTGTAAATTCCTCACTGTTACAGACTTACTTACATAAATCGATTACCCCATAAATAGCTGTTTTAAAACTTTATTTATGTTTAATAATTATTTTCATCTTCTCATACAGCCATTTTAAAGCATATTTAAGAGATTCCCCATTTCTATACACCCTTCCTTCCTGTTCAATTTCAGATTTTTTATCACTTAAATCTTTTAATATGCCACAAACAATAAAACTGATGTTCATATATGATTGTGTGTTCACCTGTTAAAGTAGAAGGTTACTCCTGAAAAACATTTAACAATTAAATGTTTATTTTTTTTATTCTTCTGGAGCTAGTTTAACAAATCAAACCTATTGTATCTTATTTGAAATTTTCTAATCCATGATAAAAAACTGTATATGAATCCAATGCTTGAGACATAATAAACATAATACTTCTTACAACACATTCTGTATAAATATTGTACATATTGTTATATATGTGCTGTATTACTGCTTATGTATTCAAACAGTTAAAAATTAATGGCCTTAGACTTGTAGTAAATAATCAGTAGTGAACAAAAACTCCACTATTGATTTTTTTTACTTATATGATAAAAAATGTTAAAATCACTAAATAGTTTGAAATTTTTCATTGATACAAAAAAAACAACTTATGTTAAAGACAATTTACCAGAAGCCACGTTAAAAAAAAGTTTGTTTTTCATATGATGACAAAGCTTTTAAAAGAATGGGGCAATTGGGAGGCACTTTTTAGTTTTTTAATGATACCTTTTATTACTTAGCCTAATATTGGATGTAAAACTAAAAGTACTGGTGAAGATGGTTGTGTATTTTAATCTAAAAAAAAATAATTCATTATAATATCATCTGTAAACTATTCAAGTGATTTTATTAGATCATTTATGACAGTACAACACTATAAGCAGTTTAATGTAAAATAATGATAAAATTTCTGAGCAGGGTTACCAAAATAGTGAGAGGGGGGTAAAAACAAACCAATAACATTAACAAATTTTAAGTACGAAAATGTACCTATGTAGTACAATTTTAATTTAAGTACAAATCATCAAAATAACAACCCCACTTATATTTATAAGTTATAGAAATTGTAAGTTACACTCAACTTGTACTTTGTAGTTTGTGCTACATCTACAAGTTACAACAATATTAATTTAATTTAATTATGATATTCGTATTATTATTAATAATAATATTATTATTACTGGAGGTGCCTCTCGTTTAAGATTAACTTATTCTATTAGTATTACCATATTAGAAGTACACTCAATTATTATCATCATATCTATGTAGGTTATATTATAACACTGACACTGTGACAGTTACACTTAAATGAGTTATAAATTAAAACTTGTATTATTACTACTAGTAGTAGTATACTGTACAGTTGTAATGGTATTAGTTTTTCATGTTTTCGGACTCGGTCTCCGGCATAAAAGCCATTTCATTCTCTTGCATAACGTAATTATCACTGAACGAAATTGAAAAATTCTCAGTCTTCACATTATTATAATTTGTAATTTCCTCTTAAACAACAATTACTTTTAAAATGTCATCCAATTTAACAAAACTCATCTAAAATCTAAGCCTACCTGACTTCTGCATTTATCTCGACAACACTATAGCCTCATGAACTGCGAGAAATGCTGACGTCATCAATTCGTGAGTAGTTGTCATAGCACTGTAAAATACAAATAAAAAAAATGCCTTTCTCAACATTTAAAAAAAATTTCGGGTAATATTTAAACATGGAATATTTTTAGCTCTTTATATCAAAAGGCAAGTAACAGTAGATCCTATAATTTACAAAAATATTAAAATATAAAACTACCAATACTTATATATTGTGATATACATGGCACAGCAGTAAGTCTGTAGGTATATAACGCTAAAAATCGGGTTTCAATACCCTTGGTTGGCAGAGCGCAGATAAACTATTGTGTAGTTTTATGCTTAACAACAAATAAACAAATATAAGCACACCATATACTTTCTACTTCCTTCTATTAACTCCCCCGGGGCTCAGTGATGAGTTTGAGGGCTTATAACGCTAAACAATCGGGTTTCGATACTCATGATGGGCGGAGTACAGCTAGCTGTGTGCTTGACATAAATAAAAAATACATCTATTAATATTGGAATTCTTTAAGGTTTGTTATATGTACAAGTATTTGGAGTTTCTACATAACACTTGGTCAAGAAGGTCGTTAACTTAATGTTACTCTAGCTACCTATTGTTCTATGTCATTCACCTAGAGTAACATTTTTACCTTCCTATGGTAAAGATAACTGCAAAGCCACCTGTAGACATGGGCGTCCGCATTTGCCCCCTTGTAATAAGAAACGTAATTATTCTTTTATTCATTTAGCATATGTATATGAATTGTTTATTCAATTCGCAATTTCACACTACTTTGCCTCCCCCTAGAAAACTTTACGCCTCCCTGGAAAAAGTTCTGCGGACACCCATACTTGTAGTATGTGTAAACAGGTAGTCATCTTTTCTACTAGCAGTGAATTGATATCTTAGGTATATATTTATATCTATTGGAAATAACAAGTTACGTAAGTTGTGCTAGTCACAACGAACGATTTAACTAAGTAACAAGATATTTATTCAGCCTGAGTAAGGATCTTGAGAGACGTAGTCTGTAGCAAATTAGTCTTGCATACAACCTCTTTTGAATAAGCTATAGACAAGTTTAACTCCAAATCTTTAGTAAAGTACACTGTCCACTGCGACAAGTAAGTATAGTTTCATTGTGTTGAGTTGAATAAAGATTGTTTATTGTCATTGTAGATTTGTGTCCAGTCTCTCTTTATTTCTATCGAATTCTATCAAATAATAGTGAAGTATCTTGATGAATCACCCGTTATTCAGTAGATTTGTCTTGTCACTGAAAAATTAGTGCTATTTGAAAACATTACAGCATCACTAAGAGTAGAAAAGTAAAATATTTTTAATAATTTTTTAGGTACGAATATGTATCAGTACTGTTACGTCTCTCGTCGTTTGTTAATTTCCGGTATAAATTCTTCCGGAGGAACTTCAGCGATACAAGTCCTTTCTTAAATAAAATTAGTTTATTCTTTCTCAATACAACTTTGCAATACATAAAATTTATACCGTCACTTTAGCTTAAACACACGCTATAATTCACAACGATTCACGCACTTTACTTACGGTCACTACCGCTCACTTGACTCAATTATCTGTCTATCTGCAATTCTCTATGCCGTCACTTTTCATCTCCGCTTTATTTGCCGGGCTTATATACAAAATAGAGGGCGTCTGGCAAACACTCAAGTCTTCATGATCCTTCTAGAAACTCATCACATGTTACCAGCGTCACGTGACTTCTACTGTCGTAACAGTACTTTCATCCTGAATGTCACCTTATGTGATATCAGACGACCAGGTCAGACATAGCCATCTTTAATTTAGAACTGCTGACCATAGGAAAGCAATCAGTCAGCAGTGGTTGCTACATATTTGGCTAGTATTGAACGAAAATCAGAATTATCTATAACATCCCCAAATCTGAAAATTTGGGAGTGTTCAATAGCACTGATTATAATTAAGCTTTAACCTTGGACTTTGTTATTTGGGAGGTTAAGAACTAAACCATGCTCAGCCCTATTCTATACTGTTTGACGTAAGTATTCAGGCACGACGGTATACTCATACTTATGTATCTAGAGGGTGGGTGTACTGCTGCATAGCTCCAAGTCCAAAATAACTGCTGCAACTCAATGTGTCAACTTTCATCTAGTGTCCTTAAATAGTCCATGGCCAAGTGGTTATGGCGCTCGACTCGCAACCTGAGGGTTACGGGTTCGAATCCCCTTCCCACCAAACATGCTTTCAGCCGTGAGGGCGTTATAAAGTTATGGTCAATCCCAATATTCGTTGGTAAAAGAGTAGCTCAAGAGTTGGCGGTGGGTGATGATGACTAGCTGCCTTCCCTCTATCTTACACTGCTAAATTAGGGACGGCTAGCGCAGATAGCCATCGTGTAACTTTGCGCGAAATTCAAAAACAAACAAATTTAAATAGTCTGGCATGATTTTTTGCCATTTTTTAGTCAACCCATCACAAACGAAGATCACCAATACTTATGCTTCTCGTAGAATTGCCCTCTACCCATAATCTGCAAGCCTTCCATTCTAAATATGACCTTTTTCCTGTCTTCCTCAGGGACGTCCACCAGTCGATCTCTCCAGATGAAATCCGCGTGTCATTACAAGAAATAACCCAGACCAGAGTACATGCAGTACATCGTATCCAATACCAAACGTCCAGATACACACATTTCATGAAGATAGTTACTACATCAAGACAAGCTGCCAATTTCATTTTAAACCCAAGGATGTAACTTTCACATTTTTTTTTCATTTCAGAGCCGAACGCCCGTATAGTCGTCCCATCACTTCTATTACCCTTTCCAGCAATTATTCCTGTTGCCCTACACAGATCAACAGACCACCAAAGCACTACACCGAATCAACATCCGTCAACAAAGCCACATCAGATTCTACTGAAAAGTACACTCAGACCATACTGCCCAAGAAGAAATTACAGTCCACCCAGACTCCGATACCACAGACCACCATGTGCGACGCCTTTACATCTACAGACAGCCCCAGTCAATCTACCAAGAGACCCAGACGAATCCAATTCCACGACCCACCGAGTGTCTTCCCACTGAAGTCACCATTCCTTCACCTTGTCCACACCAACAGATATGAACCTGACTCCGACCAAAATATTCCCAGTTTATTCTCGACCTTTCATCCGTTCAGCCTTTTTAACTATCATAAAAAAAACTATTAAAGTTAACAGTGTAATCCATCACACCTACTAATTCTCGTTGTTTTTGTCTTCTCTATTATCTTCCAGTCAGTTTTATTCGGCGCCCTGGCAGTGAAAGTGGGTTTTCTCTGGGTACTACTCCCCCCCCCCCACACACACACATACAAAAAACTTATTTCTTTGGATCCTTCGATCCCAGCCCTGAGAAGGTCTGTTCTACATACATTTTTTAAATTTACTTTTAACTTTCCATCCGATTCGACAACCTCACTACAAATCAACATCTCCGTTGATTGTGTACCACCATACCACATAGCTATAGAAGAGCTCCGCGCCAATTTCTCTTTCTTCCATCACCCTTTCACCAGTGAGGGTGAATACCCATCCCTAGCTAGATTTCCCCTTATCCAACCAACTTCTTTCAGCCACATCTTCGCTAAGAAGAAATCCCTGTAATACAAGTCAACCACCACGCTTATCACTCCTTCCTTCTTCATCATTTTGCCACAATATCATCCGGGTTTTAATCGGGCACTGATCAGATAAATTATTTTGCGTCTGACCAGTGAACGTGGATTTTCTCGGGGTGCTCCCGTTTCTCCCCACAACAAAGTATCTAGGCATTGAATTTATAGATTCCCCGCCGTCCTGAAGAACCATAAGTCCGATGTTGGTCGTTAGTTAGAAGTAATGCAAGAGAAGATTCAACGTATGATCTAAACTCACAGTTTTCCGTGTAAAGCCTCTCATTCCCATCATGAGTGAGACGAAGATAAACATTCATTTCAAAGCGCTCCAAGGAGATATTAAATCGAAATAACTGCCAGGTAAAATAAAACACACTCTGATCTAAAGAGGAAATACTTTCGAAAGTCAAAACTTCGTCCTCTACCCTTATGTTTTTCTATAACAGGCAGTTGCGAGTTGTCGCTTATTCTAGTGTACTCATCATGAATACTCTGCTTAAACAACCTATAAAAAACTTGCAGTTGTTCTTCCACACATTAAAAAATAACTTCATAGTCGAAATATATCCAATAATAAGTTTTATTTATTTAATTTGGTCCATACAAATGTTTAATAAATCTTATACTTTTATTTTAAGTTGATTTTGGCTTGCTCAGAATGAAATCATTAGTGTTTGTAAATTTTTTGATTTTTTTTTATGAGAAGGAAAGTCACAATAGCTTTGGACACAGTAGCGTTACTTTTAAGGTGAATACAAGTGTAATTATTATTTGTTGTTGTAATTTTTAGCCAATTTCTGTTTCTCTACTTCGATTCTTATGGACTGAAGTAACTACTGTAAAGCAACCTAAAACATAACCTTGCAGTCAAATGGAACCCTATTTAAGATATTAATGACAACTGCATTTGAAAATATGTGTTTTCTCATTTATAACTATAATTTTTTTTTTTAAATATAAGTATAATATTCAAAATATACAGGATGGGGTGTAAGAAGTCATGTCGCTCATTTAGATTTTGTTTAATATACAACTTTGTTACTAATATATTTAGTGCAAGGGATTATGCAATAAACAGATTAATAACGAAATGCAACTTGTAAAAACCAAAGATGCAGTTACAGAGCACATGCAAAAAAGTAGGCAAAGAGCTGAAATTATATTGTATTTCAATAACTGTAGAACCATTTTAGTTTGTCCTTACTGTGGTCGGGTTCTTTTAAATAACTTGTTGAAAGTAAGGCCTTCAAATTCCTAGATGTACTAAATAGCAGACAACAAAAAATGTAGGTAGAGAAATAATATGTTTGCCATGTGTTTCACCATGGTCAATAAAGATAGGTAATGTGTTTAGGCAAAATATGAATTGCCAAGTAACTTTTACTACTCAATTAAAATTAAGTCATATAATTAATGGTTTGAAAGATAAAATTGAATTAAAGGATAAATGTGGTATATATAAAATTTCATGTATTTATGGTCTAAGTTATATTGGACAGACAAGTAGAAACTTAAAATTTGGAATAAAAGAACATCAAAATGCGGTGGTTGAATTAAAAACAGGTGAATCTGCTTTGGCGGAACATGTGGCGAATTCTACACATGTTATTGACTGGTATAATGTAAAAATACTTAAACAGGTAACGGAAAAGATGAACTAAATATAAGAGAATCAACAGAAATTGTTAAAAACAAAATGTGTATAAACAGAGATTTAGGCCCAGGAGACGTGGAAGTACATTTTTGGAAATCGTTGTTGTAAATGGTGCTATTGTAAAAACATGATAATTATACATGTACATAGGTTTATAGGAAACTTCATGTGTACTTCATGGTTTATTCTCCTGAAGATGGTGGAATTATTTCCACCGAAACATGTTGAGTTTATAAGGTTTTTTTAAACTTATATCTTTTAAACTTTACAAATAAATTATTGTGCAAGTAAAAAAACGTTGATATCTCGTTTTATTTAAAATATATTTCGATAAAAAATTTAAATTTTCCAAAAAATGTAATCAACCTATAATATTGCTTTATATATCTAACTAGTTTATATTCATAATTACACATACTTTTTATAACCAAGTCACAAGGAAACATCAAACAATAATGAAAACCATTGCATGGTTTCAAACAATTACTTATTTAGGCTTACTGTGCTAAAGTTTCATTTGTTCCCATATTCTCTTAGGAAGGTTTGACAGAATAGTTACAAGTTATTCTTTGAGGAGAATATTATCGAAACATTATTTTATCATTTTTTCATCAACTGCCAATAAAAAAGTCATATTTACAAAATGAATTTTTGCTTAGATAACATACTAAGATAAAGAAATATTCAGAAGTTATTTAGTATATACCCTCTAACTATAAGGATTGCAACTATCCAAAAAACAAAGATACAAAAGATCTAGGTCAGCTTATGTCCTTCAAAATCAGATTTTTCTTCCGGCTTAACAGCTTTCGCTTTACAACTGAACTTAAGTTGTTTGTTTTTCCTTTTGTTGCATTATAGGATTTTGGGGAAACGTTATCGTTTCTAGGTGTTGATTTGTGGTGCTCAATAGTTTAGTCATCACAACAGAAACAGCATAATGCAAGACACAAAGCACATAAACAACAGTCTCTTCCACAATTGTCTTTCTTTTCTTCTCGCACAATTCTGGAAAATAAACAAAAATTTTACGTTAGTATTATATTTATTGCATACGGATTCTTATGTGTAGATTTAACTTCACAAGCGTTATTTGAACTTTGAAATACAAATATGGTAACAATTTAATAAAATCATATACACGCATTTATTGAGCGTGTGGAGGGGAGGTTATATAGGGTTCGGCTAAACCCCCTTATTTTTATGATGAAATCCTCGTGGTATTCAGCGTTTTCTACATTGTATACATTCTTCTCATGAAGTATTTTTTGGCTTGAAATAGTCGCATGCAATGGCTTCTATTAACACTTTGTAATTGGAAGTCCGAAGCTATATTGTTACTGTCAGGTTTTGTAGGCCGGATTCTTTATTGTAGGTGTACAATAAACAAACAGTAATATAGCCCACTTCTTCTAAAATAATATATTAAAACAATTGAAACGTATATACAAATGTTTTTTGACTTTTTCATTGGATGTTTGTGGATTTTATGTGAACAGCCAAGCAACTGTTTAAGCTATATTTCATGCAATATTAATTCCAAGTTTAATCTCATAGCAACTAATTTTTTACAAATTTTATGGGGAGCATGCCCCAGACCCCTCTAGCATTAGCATGCTGATTTTGTTTTGCACAATATGTGTTGGATTTTGATCTCACAAATTAGAACCCCCCCCTTTCAAATATTCTGCGTACCGGTCTGATATACAATAAAGTTGACTATAAATAGTGCTAAACATCATTTTGTAATTGTAAGTAAGTTGAACCAAAATTTAAAATATATATAAACATGACAAAACTATACTTACACTGTAGTAGCACCGGGCTGTTGACCTTGGGGCAAATAACCTCCTGGTGGTGGAGGCTGAGGAGGAGGAGGGTAGTAACCACCAGAAGGTTGTGGTGGTGGGTAATAAGCGCCACCTTGAGGTTGTGGTGGTGGGTAATAAGCGCCACCTTGAGGTTGTGGCGGTGGATAATATGTACTACCCTGATAATATCCACCAGGGGGCGGTTGATTGTAGTTTCCTTGGTAGCTCATACTAAAGTATAAAATAGTCACGTGAAAATAACAAACACAGAACGATAAATATATCAGTATTACGAATTTATACCCAAGCGAAACCACAACTTTTTCACATAATTATCTAAAGTTGGTCGTAAAAAACATGCTTAAATGTTAACGAAATTATAAAATATCAACAATTACCAATATCAAAACATTATCTGAAAAATAGAGAACAAAGTTAACAGCATACACAAATAAATATGAATTTTCTAAATCTTAGGGTGAGTATGATTTATGAAATAAAACAATTATTGTAGACTTTATTTTTAATGTTTTAATTTAGATGTTAGCTAGAAGGAGCTAGAGATCTTAATTATGACATTAAATTAGTGATAAGTAAGACGACAGACCAATGATTTATCGAAACACGCAGTATGTTCCACCATAAATAAATCATTTCATTATGCTTATAAATCGCTGTTTGCCTACTTATTATTATCATAATAGTAAAATGTGCTTCCTCACTCAAGTGACGTTAAATTAGACCTAAAAAGTTATAAAGATTTGACGTCAGGTTTTCTAGTAAATTCTAGGGGTAGAATATAAATACGAGGATCCGCAAAGCTTTAAAATATTAGTTAAAAAGAAAGTGGATTGTTTCTAGCCAGCGGAGTAGATCAATCAGTATGTTTTTTTTTCTTTTTAACGAAGTATTTGTGTTAGCATACACGCATATTAAGTAACTTTGTACAAATTTAGTGTAGTGCAATTAGCGTCACTTGGACACATAGCCTAAAAGTTGTCACATCGTTCTCTTCGTTTTTCATCTGGATTCGGTCCATGTTTTAGACCAGGGTGGGTTGGGGTTCAGCGTAGACCTCTTCCTCCCTCTCAGGAATTGTTATTTTGTTTACACTGTTACTGAATCCTAGGTAATAACCCTTGTTGCGTTATTGCATTACTCACAGAATGTTAAGTTGTGTCTATTATCCACAGTTCTAATTAACATACCCTTTTCG